GGTCCCCACTGGGGACACTTGTGGGGCTGCCATAGGTGGGGGTGAGCTCCGTGGGCTGTTGTGTGCTGAGCGGGCAGAAGGGAGAAGCCCAGCCACGTCCCCGTCATCCCTCGGTGCCTGTCCCTGCGGTGCCACCAGCACCAGTGCTGAGCCTGACTCCAGCATCCCTGGTGGATGCAGGACCTGTAGGATCCCAGCCCAGGTCCCCCATGCTCCTGCCCAGTCCCAGACCCCCATTTTCTCCCTCTTACAGAGCCTGAGAAGAGGCCACAGCGAGCCCAGCCACCTCCCCACCATGGACACCACGGACGTGCCCCTCCAGGCTGAGATGGTGGAACTGGTGCCCAATGGGAAGCACGCGGCTGCACTCAGTGGTTCCACCGTCCCCTCGCTGGCTGGTGACAGGTGGGGACCTGGGGACACACGGGGCTTCCAAGGGCAGGGGAGGTCCTCCTGGGTGCTCCCTGCTCTTGTGATGCCGCTGCCTGGGCACAGGGTGGGGCATAGTGGCCCCTGCCTCTTCTTCAGCCTCACCTCCTCCCTCCGGCGGCCAGGTTTGAGGAGAACCAGTCTGGTGTGGCAGAGATGGAGGAGTTCCTGCCCCACGGCGCCGAGAAGAAGCAGACGCACTTCACCGATGTGAGTAACGGCGCTGGCACCGCAGGGGCGGCAGGACGGGGGGGACAGCTCCCGGTGCGACCAGTGCCTCCCCTCCCTTGTTCCTGTCTTGTGTGCGCAGTTCGAAGGGAAAACGTCTTTTGGGATGTCTGTCTTTAACCTGAGCAACGCCATCATGGGCAGCGGCATCCTGGGGCTGGCCTATGCCATGGCCAACACCGGCATCATCCTCTTCCTGTGAGTGCCACGCAGCCGTGGGGGCTCGGGTGGGGGAGACTCGGCTGTGGGGGGCTCCTCCAAGGGGATCAGTGGGTGCCAGGGGTGCAGGCAAGAAAGTGCGCAGGTACCAGTGCCCTGCTGCCACAGTGGTGCCCGCGGCTGTGTCCAAGCCCAGTGCCGTGACCTGTTGGTGACGGCATTGTCCTCCCACAGCTTCCTCCTGACGGCAGTGGCCCTGCTCTCCAGCTACTCCATCCACCTGCTGCTCAAGTCCTCTGGCATCGTGGGTGAGTGCCGGGTCCCTAGTGGGGCAATGCTGGGGGTCCCCTCCTGACCCTCACCCCACCACCGCTCCCCATCCCGCAGGCATCCGTGCCTACGAGCAGCTGGGCTAACGAGCCTTCGGCACGCCGGGGAAGCTGGCCGCAGCCGTTGCCATCACGCTGCAGAACATTGGAGGTGAGGACGGGGCTGGAGGGTGGACCCTTGGGGAGGACACAGGACTGGAGCACAGTGGCACAGCACGACCTCATTCTGCTTGCAGCCATGTCCAGCTACCTGTACATCGTCAAATCCGAAGTGCCTCTTGTCATCCAGACCTTCCTCAACCTGGAGGAGAAGACCACGTGAGTGCCCCTGCCCGCACTGCCCACGCTGCCCGCGCTGCCCACGCGCCTTCCCCAGGCAGGCGCCAGGGCTTGGGCTCCAGCTGTGCGGTCCATGACAGGGATTTAGTGCCATTAAGCCACTACTATTTTTGATAACCATCAGTGCTGAATAAGCCCCCGGGTGGGATTAGACTGGGCTGAACTTCCAATCCTGCTCCTCGCATCTCCTTGGGGTCACGCTTTCCTCCTTGAGCAGAGCTGGGGGCTGTGGGGCCGAGATGGGAGCTCTGGTTGGGAATGGGTTCTCCTCACCCAATGCCAGCATCCCCATCTGGCAGCACAGGGTGAGAGCTGGGCAGATGCTGGGCAGAGCTGAACTGAGACCTCCACCAGTCCTGGACTGGGATTCCCAGCCAGGCTGGACCCCAGCTGCTCTGGGGCTGGGCAGGGATCCTGCCCCACAGGTGGCCGGGGGCAGCTTCCTCCACCTGGGGCTTTGAGGACCTGGCTGAGCTCCCTTGCGGATGCTGGTACCCTGGGCTGCCCATGGGCACACGTGTATTGACAACAGCAGTTCTTGGCCTGCCCACAGTGGCTTGAGCCCTTGGGGGTGCCCCACTGTGAGGTGGGCAGGACCCCAGCTCCAGGAACTCCAAGGACCTGGCCTCAGGGGCCCCCAGGGATGCCATCTCGGGGTTCTCGGGGGATGCCAGCACAGCAGGGATGCCAGCCTCCAG